ATTCATAGCCCTAACTGCCTTCATAAAGAAATTCGAGGCATGTGATACAAGGAACTTGAAGGCAAACCAGAAAGCACTAGAAAAACAAATGGGGTCGACACAACCAAGAGGAGTATTATTAGAATATATTAGAAACAAATAGAACAATTGAAAGAATTAACGAAACCAAGAACTGTTTTTTTGAGAAAATAAAAAACCTAGACAAACCATTAACCAAACTAACTAAACTGCAGAGGGACACTGTCCAAACCAACAAAATCAAAAATTAAAAGAGGGACATAACAACAGATCTGAGGAAATCCAAAGAATCATTAGGTTGTACTTCAAAAGGCTATATGGAACAAAATTTGAAAATCTTTATGAAATGAACAATTTTCTTGATAGATTACATTTACCAAAGCTGAATCAAAATCAATTAAATAAATTAAATAGTCATATATCCTCTAAGAAAATAGTAGCTGTCATCAAAAGTCTCCCTTCCAAAAATAGCCCAGGGCCAGATGGTTCCAGCCCAGAAATCTACCAGACCTTCAAAAAGTGCTAACACAAATACTCTTCAAACTATTCCACAAAATAGGAGCAGAAGAAACATGAAAATCATTCTATGAGGCCACAGTCACCTTCATACCTAAACTGCACAAAGATGCTACAAAGAAAGATAACTTCAGACCAATCTCTCTTACAAACAAAGACGCAAAAATGCTCAAGAAAATATTCACAAAACGAATCCAAGAACATCTTAAAGATATCCACGATGACTAAGTAAGCTTCATCCCAAGCATGCAGAGGTGGTTCTACATATGAAAATCCATCAATATAATCTGCCATATAAACACACTGAAAGAAAAAAAAAAAACAAATGAAAATCCCCTTAGATGCTCAAAAAGCATGCACCTGAAAAAATTCAACACTGGTTCATGTTTAAAGATTTGGAGAGATCAAGGATACAAGGCACATACCTAAACATGGTAAAAACTATATACAGCTACTCTATAGCCAACATCAAACTAAATGGAGTGTAATTTAATCAATCCCACTGAAATCAGAGACAAGACAAGACTGTCTAATCCCTCCTTATCTCTTCAACATACATCTTGAAGTCCTTAATAGAACAATAAGACTGCTAAAGGAGATCAAAGGGATACAAATTGGAAAAGAAGATGTCAAAGTATCACTATTTGCAGATGATATGATAGTATACATGAGTGACCCAAAAATTCTACCAGAGAACTCCTTCAGCTGAACACCTTTAGCAATATGGATGGATACAAAATTAACTCAAAAAATCTGAAGAGCTCCTTTATACAGAAGACAACCGGGCTGAGAATAAAAGGAAGAGAAGCAACACCCTTCAAAATAGCAATGACTAACATAAAGTACTTTGGCGTAACTCTAACCAAGCAAGTGAAAGACCTATATATAAAAAAAAAATCAACTCTCTGAAGAAATCAAAGAAGATATCAGAAGATGGAAAGATCTCCCATGCTCATGGATAGGTAAGATTAACATAGTGAAAATGACTATCCTACCAAAAGCAATCTAGAGATTCAATGTAATTCCCATCAAAATACCAACACATTTTTTTTACAAACATTGAAAGAAGAATTCTCAATTTCATATGGAAAAACAACAACAAAAAAGAATAGCTAAAACAATTCTGTACAATAAAAGATCTCGAGGAATTTCCATCCCAGATTATGAGCTGTAATACAAAGTAACAGTAATTAAAACGACATGATACTGTCACAGAAACAGAATAGCAGATCAAGGGAATCAAATAAAGGACCCAGGTATAAACGAACACACCTATGGAAACTTAATTTTTGCCAAAGATGACAAAAACGTAGTTTAGAAAAAAAGACAGAATCTTCAACACACAGTGCTGGTCTATTATCAGCCAGCACAAATTTAAAATCCAAGTGGTTCAAACAACTAAACCTCTTAGAAGTAAAACACTAAACCTCTTAGAAGTAGAAAAATGCAAATATATCCGTATTTATCACCCTGGAGAAAACTGAAGTCCAAGTGGATCAAAGACCTGAAAATGAAACCAAAATCTGTTAGAAGAAAAAGTGAGGAAGAACCTTGACCTCATTGGCACATGAGACAGTTTCCTGAACAGAACACCAACAGCACAGGCTCTAGGATCAACTGTCAATAAATGGGACCTCATGAAACTGAAAAGCTTCTGTGAAGCAGAGGACATAGTCATCAGAACAGAATACCAGCCCACAGAATAGGAAAAGATCTTCACCAACCCTACGTCTGACAGGGAGCTAATATCCAGAATATATAATGAACTGAAGAAGTTAAACACACACAAAAAATAACCTAATTAAAAATGGGGTCCACAGCTAAACAGAGAATTCTCAACAAAGGAATTTCCAATAGCAGAAAAACACTTAAAAATATGCTCAGTGTCCTTAGTCTTTCAGGCAATGCAAATCAAAACTACCCTGAGAATTAGACTTACAGCCATCAGAAGGGTTATGATAAAAAAAACTCAAAGGATTATACATGTTGGAGAGGATGTGAAGAAAGGGGAACCCTCCTCCAATGTTGGTGAGAATGTAACCTTGTGCAATCACTTTGGAAATAAGTCTGGCGCTTCCCCAGAAAGTTAGGAATAGTGCTACCTCAAGATCCAGCTCTACCACTCCCAGGCATGTATCCAAAATATGCTTAAGTATACAACAAGAACATTTGCTCAACCGTGTTCATAGCAGCTCTATTCATAATAGCCAGAATCTGTAAACAAACTACATGTCCCTAAACAGTGGAATGGATAAAGTATAGTACATTTACCCAATGGAATACTACTCAGCAATTAAAAACAAGGAAATAATGAAAATTTCAGTCAAATGTTAGGAACTAAAAAAGATCATTTTGAGTGAGGTAACTCAGAAGCAGAAAGACACAAATGATATATACTCACTTATAAGTGGTTATTAGGAATATAATACAGGATAAACATACTAAAATCTATAGCCCTAAAGAAGCTAAACAACAAGGAGAATCCTAAGGAAGATGCTTAATTCTCATCCAGAATGGCAAACAAGAGAGACATCTGAAGTAGGATAACAAAAGGAACAGGACAGAAGCCTTCCACAGAGGACCTCTGAAAGAAACTATCCACCAGGGTTTCGAAGAAGATACTGAAACTCATAGCCAAACTTTGGGCTGAGTCCTGGAATCCTTATGGAAGAAGAGGGAGATCGAAAGAGCTAGAGGGGTCAGGATTTCCATAAGGAGAACAACAGAGCTAAAATACCTGCAGAGATCCGTACTCCAACTAAGGACCAGGCATGGAGAGGATCTATTACTCCTATTCAATGGAAGCCCATTTGCTGCTCGGTTTCCAAGTGGGTTTCCTAGTATAGAGTTCAGGAACTGTTTCTGACATGAACTCAGTGGCTGGCTCTTTGATTACCTCTTCCTGGGGGTTGCAGCCTTGCCAGGCCACAGAGGAAGATGATGCAGCCAGCTTTGATGAAACCTGATAAGATAGATTTCAGACAAAAGGGGAGGATCTTCTCCTTTATCAAGGGACTAGGGAAATTGAATAGGGGGAGAATAATAAGGTGGGTGGTGCTGGGAGGAGACGGGGGGGTTGCAGCAGGGATACAAAGTGAATAAATTGTAATATATATATATATATATATATAAACTTAAATCTATAAAACAGTGTATTTACATGTTCCAATTATATAAATATGTACTTCACTTAGGAACCCATAGCTTTTGAAGACTATGGTACAGACCAAGTTACTATAGGAAACTAATTTGTGAATTTGTCAATGTCAAAAGAAATGAACTGTTTGTAAATATCACTTCATCCTTTTATATTTGTGTACTAGTTGGTGTTTTCTACAATAACAAGTTTCATTTTTTTCCTATAGAGATAGTAAAAAGAATCAATGATTGCATCAAAATACACAGAAAATTGAGTATTGTATATATTCAAATACTTTGTTGGGGATACTAAAATATATAATACCAAAGGATACAGAAGAGCAGAGTCACAATCCCTGACAAAAATCTTTTTTATACTAAAGTACTTTAACAGTTAAATGTCAAACACAACAAAGCAAAATTATAATCTAATAATAAAATATAGAATTTCTTGTTCAATAATCCCTAATAATGGTCATGAAACACAAAACCAAATTAAATATATATTATTTAAATAAAAGATGAGAATAATATAATTCAGGGTTGTTTTTTTAATGTGCAAAAGAGTAACAAAGTTTATAGAAAATCATTGGAGGCATTTTTCCTACTAATATTCCCTCTGCTTGATGACTCTAGCTTTTGTCATGTTGACAAAACAGTAATCAGCACATGTGAGTAAACTTTTGAATTTACGTAGATTACAGATAACGATGGAAGATTGTAGGGTATTAAAATATAATCATAATCACGTACTTGGGTTGAAATGACTTGAAGAAATAAAATGGATAAACAAGAAAGAGACAAGTTATATGGCAGATCATTAGTTTGTGAAGCAAAGTGAAAGGTAATAGAGTTTGTTAATTATATTATTGTTTCAACCGTTTTTCTTTTTAATTCAACTTCTCATATCATAATCCTTTAATAAATAGTTGGAAGACAGATTTTTACATCATTATTTACCTTCACAATAAATTTCTGTTTACTTAATAAGATATTAATGGATAATAAACATTATTTGTAAAGACTTATATGAATATACACACTATTCAATTATAGACATAAATAACGTTGCATATTTTATGAATACTTACAACCAGTATATTTAGCATAATTTGGCATATATACTTCCAATATTACATTAAAATGAGATTGTTTAATAGTAGATTACAATTCATGAACAGATATAAAAAGAATGGAATATCACTTTTTAACCTTCAAATTTTTAAATTATTATTAATGATTTTAATGATATTATACTAGAATCCTAAAATTAGAATTAGAAAATGCAGTTGTAGTGATTAGTTTCATAGATTTCTGAATGTACTTACTGGTATTTTCTTGTTAATCTCCATGACAAAATTTTCAGGATTACTGTTTCTTATTTTCAACTCCAAAGTTTCATTTGTAGGATTATATAAAGGAAGGTTCTGAATGATCTCCCTGGGAGGAAAATCAAAAGTAGTATATTTGCTGGTGTTTATAAACTTACCAATGATAATTTCATTATCAACTAAATTGTTACTCTCTTTACTCCTATGCTATTGCATAGTATTTGCATATGATTGTGAGAAACAATGTCCGGTTTGATTGTGTAACAATCCAATTTAAAAATAATGTCCCACCATGAAGAGATAATAAAATGCTGCCCAACTACCATCTATAAAAATTAATCAAATGATCTTACCAATGTTATAGAACAGTGAAATATATATGTTAAATTCCTTTACCCTCAGAACCTTCCATCTGTTTCTATGCCATTACCATGACTTTTTTATTACTGTTGCTCTATAGTACAACTTGAGATTAGGGATGGTGATACCTCCAGAAGTTCTTTTATTGGAAAAGATTGTTTTAATTATTCTGGAATTCTTGTTTTATTCCAAATGAAGTTGAGAATTGTTCTTTCAAGGTCTGTAAAGAAGTGTGTTGGTATTTTGATGGGAATTGCATTGAAATGTCCATATTTACTATGCTAATCTCAGCTATCCATGAACATGAGAGATATTTCCATATTCTGATATTGTCTTCAGCTTTTTCTTCATCCAGTAGAATTCGTTGTCATAGAGGTCTTTGACTTGTTTGGGTAGACTTACACCAAAGTATTTTACATTATTTGTGGCTAGTGTGAAGGGTTTGGTTTCCCTAATTTCTTTCTCAGCCCATTTGTCCTTTGAATACAAGAAGGTTATTGATTTTTTGGAGTTAATTTTTTATCCAGTCACTTAGCTGAAGGTATTTATCAGCTGTAGAAGTTCTCTCGTAGAAATTTGGGGGTCAATCATGTATATTATCATATCCTCTGCAAATAATGATATTTTGACTTCTTCCTTTCCAATTTGTATCTCTTTGATCTAATTTAATTTTCTTATTGCTCTGGCTAGGACTTCAAGTACTATATAAAGAAATAGAGAGAGAGTGGGCAGCCTTGTTTTGTACCTGATTTCCATGGGATTGAGTTAAGTTTCTCTCCATTAAATTTGATGTTGGCTATATGCTTGTTGTATATTGCTTTTATTGTGGTTAGGTATGTTCCTTATATCCCTGATTTTTTACAGCTTTTAACATGAAGGGGTATTGCATTTTGTCAAATGTTTTGTTTTTTTTTATTGGCATCTACTGAGATGATCATGTGGTGTGTGTATGTATGTGTGTGTGTGTTTCTTTCAGTTTATTTATATGGTATGTTGGATGAATTTTCATATATTGAACCATCCCTGCATACCTGGGATGAATCCTACTTGATCTTGGTGGATGATACTTCGATTTGTTCTTGGCTTTGTTTCCTGAGTATTTTGTTGAGTATTTCTTCATCAATGTTCATAAGGGAAATTGGTCTGAAATGTTCTGTCTTTGTTCGGTCTTCGTGTGGTTTTGTTATCAGGGTGATTGTGGCCTCATAAAATTTGTTTGGCAATATTACATCTGTTTTATTTTCTGGAAAAGTTTAAAGATTGTTAAGTCTTCTTTGAAAGTTTGGTAGAATTGAATTCTGCATTAATATCGTCTGGCCCTTTTTTTGTTTGTTTGTTTGTTATCTGTTTTTATTTGTTGTTGTTTGTTTTGTTTTGTTTTTTGATGGAAGAATTTTAAGGATTATTTTTATCTCCTTGGAGGTTATAGGACCATTTAACTAGTTTGCCTGATTTAACTTTGGTAAGTGGCATCTATCATGAAAACTGTCCATTTCATTGAGATTACCCAATTTTTTGGAGTATATGGTTTTGAAATAAGACCCAATAATTCATTGGATTTCCTCAGTGTCTGTTGTTATATCCCCCTTTTCATTTCTGATTTTGTTGATTTGTATATTGTTTCACTGCTTTTTTGTTAGTTTGGTTAAGGGTTTGTCAATCTTGTTTATTTTCTCAAAGCTGATTAGCTTTTGGTTTAGTTGATTCATTGTATAATTCTTTTCATTTCTAATTTGTTGATTTCAGCCCTGAGTTTTATTATTTCCTGCCTTGTCCTCCTCTTTAGTATGTTTGCATTTTTTTTCTTAAAGCTTTCAGGTGAGCTGTTATGTTGTTTTTATGAGATTGCTCCAGTTTCTTTATGAAGGCACTTACTGGTATTAACTTTCCTCTTAGCATTTTTTTTCATTGTGTCCCATAAAATTTGGTATGCTGTGCCTTCATTTTCATTGAATTTTAGGAAGTCTTATTTCTTCCCTGACCCAGTGGGCATCCAGTAGGGTATTGTTTAGTTTCCATAAGTATGTAGACATGGAAGTCAAGCATAAGAGCTAACATTTATATAATTTCATTTTATGTACTATCTGAAATAAGAAAGAAACCAAATTTGTGTTTGCCAAGTCAAGGCAGGGAGATAAAATTACAGTGAGAGGTGAATGGAATTGTTGTTTCTTTTAGGGTAGCAAAAGTTGTTTGGAAGGTGGTGGGGCTGTAGATGTACAACAGTGTGACATGATACTGTGCTCTATCCTTTAAAATGGATAATTTTCTGTTATGTGGACTTTTTTTCCTTAAAAAAAATTAGAAACAAACAGAAAAATTGAATAGGAAATAAAAAGAAATGATAGGAGAGGAACATGAGTAGTAAATAAAATATTAGATTTTCACACAACATGAGTAGATGTGTTCATGATTTTCCCTCTTCAAGCATGTGTGTGTGCGTGTTTGTGTATGTTTGTACACATATACTCTTCATATTAAGGTGTAAATAAAGAACCAACTTGAAAAGTTGTCTTCACATCTTCATTCATGGTCATTGCATGAATGATCCTGCACTCATACATACATATCATGCACACACATGCTCATACACTAATAATGAATTATTAAAAGGAGAAAATGTCTAGTACAATGTAAAACAATGGTTGTGATACAGAAAGAAGACATGCCATATAAGTCATATTTATTATAAATTTTATATAGTTTTCCTTTATTAACTTTTACATTTTATTACATTGAACTTTTATTACATTGTGCGTATGCACACAGCATGTATGTCAAGGTAAGAAGAAAAATGTCAGGAGTTAGTGCTTTTTCACCACGTTAATCTTAGGGAATGACCTCAGATTATCAGTCTTCAGAACAAGAGCCTCTATCTCCTGAGCCATTTTTCCTTCTCATATATATTTACATTTCAAAATATGAGAAATGTTTAGAAGTTGAACATGACTTTATAAAAACTATGGTGAAGTAGAAAGTCTTACCATGTTAATGAATTTTCCTAAAAGGGTTATTTTTAAACCAGTATTTAATCTGACCTCATATTCCCACTTCCTCATGATTTCTATTAACTTTTTGTTGAGAATTCTGCTTGACTTTCTGATCTTAGAGCCCCCTCAATTCTACACAGTAGAAGAACCTGGGAATTTAATTCTTCCGCCTAAAAATGCTAATGGAGACTAAAGTGAATGTTCAAAAGCCCAAGCATTATTAGCAATTCTTAATTTTGTGTTCCAAAACAACAATCAGAAAGGTTTGCTAGTGTTATCAACATAAAAAGATGATTAGCAGAGTCTTAGGAGATGATTCAGTCAGTAAGTACTTTAAACACATGAGGACTTGATTGTGGTTCTCCACTACCCATTTACAAAGCTGATATAGCAGTGTTCATTGTTTCTGTTATACCTTTCCTGGGGAAGCAAAGGCAGAAGAATACCAGGAGTTCACTTGATGGTCAGCTCAACTGAATCAGTGAGCTCCAGGTTTAGCTAAAGATATTATTTCAAAATATGAGGTAGAGAATGACAAAGAAAGGTACTGAAGGTCGACCTCTGGTCTCCACAAGCAAACATGCATATATGAATACACACACACACACACACATATATATGCATATATATATATATATATATATATGCATACATACATTTATATACAAAGAAAGAATATATTGGAGAGGATGGTTATTATAATTAGTCACAATATATGAAAATATAATACTGTACCCTACTTAAACAATATTATTTTTAATTAAAAATAAAACGGAATAGAGCCAAACTATCAAAAAAATAAGTAAATGAGCACAAACACTTCCCATGCTTTATTGAAAGCTGTGAGAATTGTGTTGTAGATTTCTTTGCAAGAATAGGGAGTTTAGAACTGTACATGTTTTCACTTTTGCAGTTAAAATTTATGCTTTTCATATCCTGTTTCCTATGTATTTTAATTACACTCTTTCTTAATGAATCACTTTCTTAATGAATTATTTGTAGCTATGTTTTGGCCCAATATCTACTAGTGGAAGGATTTAGCATACTTTGTGATCTGAGGAATAGATATTAAGTAAACGGTACTCATTTGCCCAGTAGATCATATTTTTTAAAAGTTAATTATAGGTTATTTATTCTTGTTTATCAGAATCAAAGTTGGTATTAAACACAGCATAGGATCTTCACTATCTAGGTGTGAATGTAGTACCTTAAGTGAACATAGTGTTAATCAAGTGGCCTAATGGTCACTGTTGTTCATGTTCTGCTTTAAGCAAAAAAAAAAAAAAACATGCCTCTCTTTTACAGTTGTTCCCAAGCTTAAGCCATATGTGCACTTGTTCCACTCCCTCTAGAATCTACTGGAAATGAGCTGAGTATAGTGAGACTCTCCCCATTAGATTCCATTAACTCTTTTCTCTTGTCCAAGTTGCTTCTTCTTTACTCTCCTTTACATTTTGTTTTGTGGGCCTTAATATAGGAGGTTGCTATATACTGTAACATTCCCTTTCCCTCATTTATAAGCATCTTTTGATGGCAACTCTTAACATGGTCTTGATCTGCTTTTCTTGACAGATTTTCTCAGTAGAAATATACATATTCTGTATGTTAAAAGGTTAAATGTCTTAAAACAGGTTTTTTTTGGTATAATAAAATTATTAAACAGAGCTTACTTTCCAAGATCACATTGCATTTCTGGTAATTTCTTTGTTCTTGGAAATCCAGTTGTTAATTTCAGTAAATACCAGAACTCATCACCTGATTCAGGCTGAAAAATAATGCTGTTATACAGAAAATTTAAAAATCTTGTTAGTTGTTTTAGATTGTATAATAAACATGGAATAGCAAAATATAGAATATTAGAAATATCTGTTTTAAACACAGTATTTAATCACTACTGTGTTATATATTCTAGACTTGCCATGAATAATTCTTAACTTTTAATTTTTGGTGGGGCCATTACTTCATTAAAGAGAAAATATTGTTATTAATATAGATTTCAAAAATGTTTGTTACATGAATTGAAACTGAATGCATATTGGTATTTTAAATGTCAATGTTAGAAAATATCCTGGATTATAGTTTTTGTTAAATCAAATTTACTTTGTTGAAATAAATGCATGTACACATTTGTGTGAAGGTCATCATAAAAATATTGTTTTAAAGAACATCTTTATAATCAGCATGTGCTGACCTCTCAGAAAGGAATTTTGACAAAGTAAGTGTATCACTGATTGATACCTCAGCTTTATTGTGTTTTATTTATACAACTTTGATTAGGCCACTTAAATTTTTGAGTTTTTATTTCACTTTTTATAAAATGAGATGAATCAATAAGTCGTAACTTGGTCTTGCTATGTGCATGAAATATATGCCAAGATGTAAACAGGTAATAATAACAAGCCTAGAATATACTTTCCAATATATATATATATATATATATATATATATATATATATATATATATA